GGCCCCAACAAAGGGTAATCTTAATAGATGCTGAAGCAGTGTGCACTTAGCTCCAAATCCCATTCATGAGGAGAACTCAGCAAACCAGAAAAGAAAGATTTATCCCGATAAGGGTCAAGGAGCATCATACTTAGTGGAAACATTTACACTGATAAGAAAAAAAGAAAAATTTGCTTGCTGTCACCATTTCTGCTTAGTGTACCATGATTCCTAGCTAACACAATAAAACAACTGAAAAGGAAACATGGGTATAAGTACTGGAAAGAAAAACTAGATTATTTCTAGATGATATAATTATCTACATAACAAATCCAAGAAATGTACAGATAAACAAATTATCAAGGTTGTTGAATATAACATGAACATGCAAAAACACACTTATTCACTGGTAATAACTAGAAAAAAACCCATTCACATTATTTCTTCATGTGGCTTGAGTTACTATCTGGTGTCCTTTAGATTCAACCTGAAGGACTCCCTTTAGTATTTCTTGTAGGGTAGGTCTACTAGCAATGGATTTTCTCTTTTTGTTTATCTGGGGATGTCTCAATTGCTCCCTGATTTTTGAAGGATAGTTTTGTTGAATATAGAATTCTTGATTGACAGTCTGTCTTTTTTTTTTTTTTTCAAGATTGGCACCTGAGCTAACAACTGTTGCCAATCTTCTTTTTTTTTGTTTTCTTCCCAAATCCCCCCAGTACATAGTTGTATATTTTAGTTGTGGGTCCTTCTAGTTGTATATGGGATGCTGCCTCAGTGTGGCCTGACAAGTGGTACCATGTCTGTGCCAGGATCCAAACCAGCAAAACCCTGGGCCGCCGCAGCAGAGTGCACGAACTTAAGCACTCAGCCACGGGGCCAGCCCCAGCAGTCTTTCTTTGAGCACTTTGGATGTGTTATCCCACTGCCTTCTGACTTCCGTGTTTCTGATGAGAAATCAGCTGTTAACCTCATTGAGGATCCCTTGTACGTGATATGTCGCTTTTCTCTGCTTTCAAGAATCTTTGGTTTTTGATACTTTTATTATGACGTGTCTAGGTGTGAATCTCTTTGGGTTTATCCTAGTTGTAGTTCATTGAGCTTCTTGGATGTGTAGATTTATATTTTTCATCAAATTTGGGAAATTTTTGACCATTGTTTCTTCAAATGTTCTTCCTACCCCTTTTTCTCTCTCCTCTCCCTCTGAGACTCCTATGATGTGTATGTTGGTACACTTAATAGTGTTCTGCAGGTCTCTGAGGCTCTGTTCATTTTTCTTCGTGTTTTTTTTCTTTCTGTTCCTCAAACTGGATAATCTCAATTGACTTCTAGTTCACTGGTTCTTTCTTCTGCCTGCTAAAATCTGCTGTTGAACCCTTAGGGTGAATTTTTCATTGCAGTTATTATACTTTTCAACTTTAGAATCTCTGTATAGTTCTTTGTTATAGGTTTTATCTCTTTGTTGACGTTCTGTTTGGTGGGAGTACTTTCCTTTGGTTCCTAATCATGGTTTCCTTTAGTTCCTTGGATAGCAAACAGATGAAGAAGTGTGGGCTTCCTCATCTATTTGCCCCTCCAGATCCACTTTCCACTCTTCTCTACATTCTGCCCCGGAGGTCGACCTGCATGGTCACACCTGGGCCCTCTGGCTTCCCTCTGGGTTTGGATTCCAGGGCGGTTTGGGGAGGCAGCAGGAGACTTGGCTGTGTCCTGCAGTAAACATTGCTGTTCTCTCCAGGAGCCAGCAATACACAATGCACTCTCCCCCTAGGCTCTGGTAACTGCCTCCCCGCCTTGTCCCGCTCCTGCACTGTCCTTTGCAGCTGCCCTCTAAAGCTTTGTGACTTTCTCTTCATGAATTACCCTTTGTGAATTTTCCTGTTTGCTCATACCATCTGTTTCCTGTGGGGACTCTGATTGATGCGGAAGGATGCACACCTGCTGTAGAGTGTGGTCATCTCCAAGGAGGAGGGAAGATGAAGTAAGTGTGTCATTTTGTGAAATCTGCATGGGGTGTACATAGGTGTTTGTCATAAAGATATGTCATTATACAAAGACTCATGCCAGCTAAATAAGGATGATTGTTGTAGAAGTGTAGGCTTTTATTGTAGGCCTTTGAAGAATTCTGTTGAAAAGTGGCAGTAAAGACAAATATGCTGTTAAGGAGAGAAGGAAAATGACTCCTCAGGCAAGTGGTAGTGGGAGGAATTGTGGAAATTACTGAACCACAGAGAGTTGCTGTTATAAGTCACCCAGTGCTCAGGGGGAGAGAGCTGGCCACAAAGCCGAGGCTCTGCGCGTTAATAAAAAGTGGTTTTAGCACAAGGGAAATAGAAGGTGGCCACAGTGTGCACCCAGTGTGCATGGGTTGAAGTGTAACTAGGTTTATAGTAGACGGAGGTGTTGGTCTGCGTGTTAATGTGGTCCCCAGATGGAGTGATGTCACACACTCATAGAGTAAGAGGTGTCCCTGTTGGCCTTGTTGTACCTGCCAGCCCCCCACACAGGTGAGGGAGAGCCCAGGCAGGAAGATTTTAATAAAATGGGGAGTTTGGAAAGGGTTCATGAATTGTGGCAAGCATTCCGTGAGGGAATGATCACAGTGAGAGAGATGAGAGGAGCGTAAGGCTGTGCACACAGATGTGACCCAGGGGGACCGTGGAGGAAGGTGCTCAGCAGTGGAAGCAGCTGGAAGCAGTGGGACCTGAGTCCCTTTTGATCCCAACATTAGAAACAAATAAAAACGCTCCTCAGAAAACGTCTTCCTCTTGCTTGGTGGGAAAATACTGGAATTGTGTTTTATCGAAAGTAATGTATTATTTCCCACTGTTGCTTACCAGGTAACTTTTCAAGCCTAATTAGACAGCCAGCAAGGCGTTTTAATTGTCAGCAATAAGAGCTATATTCAGGGCACAACTAACCTTCCCCTCCTTCTTAACTTCATCAGATCAGAGACTCAGCGCCTGGACATCCCCTGTCGGGCATCTCATAGTGAGGTTTTGCGACCTCACTGTACCATTCCTTGTCTAGGTCAGGGATAGGCCACGCTCCTCTTTGGGTGTCACTGTGGCTCCCTGCTTTGAGAGGAACACTGACAAACTGGACAGTGTCGAGAAGAGTGAATAAGATGAAGGGTTTAAATGAGCAACTTCTCCAAGTTCTTTTGTGTTTAAGATTCTAGCTCTCAGTCCATGTTGACATGGCTCTGTCTGTCTAATTGTCCCCAAGTCTTACTTGTTCTGCCTCCAACATGTCTTCAGGTATATCCTGTCCAACAGGGAGGTGGGAATGGGGGTGGGAGTGAGACATCTCTGTGAACTGTTTTAAAAAAATCATTTTGTTTTTTGAGTTACATGGTGGTGCTGGTGTTGACAACGATGATGATGAAGAAGATGATGATGAAATTAATTAAAAAGCATTGCCTGTGCCCCCACCCCCCAGTCCCACTGTCTCCCCTGAGAGAGGCCCCGTCTTCTCTGGGGTTTTACCTCCTCACCCTGTCCACTCCACTCCCTCTCCCACAGCACCTGAGTCCATCTGACCTCATCTCTACAACTCCCCATGCCCAGAGCAACACTTCCTCACCTGGGGTCCTGCTGCTGAGGGTCTCAGGACAAGTTTCCTGGCCAAGGACGTCGGGGAAATGCTACGTCCTTTGCCGCGCTCTTTGGAGATTTGATGTGCATCATGCTCTTAAAGACCCTGAGACTCACAGTAAAGAAACTTGTTGAATTTGGCTCAGTCTAGTGTTTCTAAAATGTCCTGAAAAGGAATGCCTGTTACACGTGTACTTCCAAGACTATTTTGGGAAACAAATCACAGGCCCGTTGAATAAACTAAGCACCTATATTCATGGTATTCAGGGCCCTTCGCAGCCTGGGCATAGCCTGATCTTTCAGACAGATCTCCTGTCCCTGCCTGTGTGCACCATCATCACAGACAGTTCTCCAGTTCTGGAATGTTCTGAGCTCTGCCTGTTCTCACCATGTGGGATGCCGTCTCCCACCCCGTGAGACTGTGCTCCTGCTCCTGGTCCACTCAAGGTACCTCTCCTTGTGTGAAGCCTTCCTCTTCCCTCAGCAGCCACCATAGCCTCTCCTTATGATCACCTGGATCAACCATCCATGTTGAAACAGGTGCTCATGAACTTGCTGCCACTTTCCCTGCTCTCTGTAAGGCCTGAGTCTCTCCTCTTGGTCCCGTGGCTCAGGGCAGCACCTGCATTCCAGGAAACAGGGACACCATCATGGACCTGACTGCTTTGCTCCTCCCACCACTTGGCCCACCCCACCTTTCCTAGCCTCAGCGGGCCCAGGGAGCCCCCTGCTTTCGCAGTGCAGTCTTGGAGAGCAGGGCTGCCCTACCAGCCACTGCTGGTGGGCCACAGAGTCACGCTGCTCTGCACCGGCGTAGTGGCCAAGACAGACACAGGTTTCTCTAGGTGCTGGACGACCCCTCGTTTCACGGTGGCAGAGCGTCTGGCCTCCTGTCCGCCCCCAGCCATCTGGTTCTCTGAGTTATCTCTGCTGGTGAAGTGAGGAGATGCAAGGCCTGTTCCAGTAGATGGCAAGGGTGGAGGCCCTGGTGGGGGTTGTATGACCCTGGGTTCCCTCCACACCCCGGCTCCCTGAGAGGAGCCCACTCTACTGCTTTTGTGTTGAATCCTGATTCAGTGTTTAAACAACATCATTTAAAAAAATTCTCTTTCATGAATATATAAATGATATTTTCATTCTTTTTTTCCTTCATAGGCGAGAAGAGAAATAAGATTTATTGAGAACATTCTATGTAACAGGCACTGTAGGAAGTGCTTTAAATACCACAATTTTAATATTTTACATATATTTATATCTCTATATATATTGTGTGAAAATGTATTTACTTCAGAAATAAGACATTATTTACAAGTGTTAGCCCAGTCATTTTAAATGCAGTGCTTTGTGCTAATGAATGTACAGCCAAGGCGTATGAATTTGGCTGAGGTAAGTTCATTCCCACAATGTGCTGTTTTGTCATTTTAGGGACATTTTAACCATACTGAGAATCGTTAGAAGATACGAGTTGGGAAAGGAAGATTCCGATTCTGGTTTTGAACCTGGCCTGTGACAGCGAATATCGGTCTCATGGATGGATGTGGGCACCACCTGTTCAAACAGCAGCCCGCCGTCCCCTCAGTCAGGTACCCGGCCATCCGCACAGAGCCGGAGGGGCCCTCGCCGCGCGGGAGCCGGCACACCCTCAGTGCTCGCCGCTCCTGCCTTCAGACGGATCTCGCTCTAGAAGGAGATCAGCTGCATTATTTACAAGTTGAAAAGACTCAGTGTCGAGCTTCCTGTGAGGTTGAGGACCCCGTGGCCTCTGGAACCGTGTCCAGACACAGCCCTGCTTTTACACTGTTCAGTTGTTCCGTGGAGCATCCAGGGCTGCTTCTCTACTCTCTTTAATTAAAAGACTTATTTTTATATTTAAAATGCTTATAATCTTAAACTGAATTTTACTAAATGCTGGTATCCTATCTGTTCTGTGTAATTCTCCAGCTGAAGTTATCAGACATGGGACCCCTTTTATATTAAAATGGAGATTTCTCATTTTCTCTTGGGTTTCCAGTGTCTCGTCTGACTGGCGACTGGTGTCATTTCCCTTGGTCTCAAGGCTTCCTGAGATGTCCTGTGCACAGGATAGACAAGGTCCCAGTGAAGCCTCTGGGTTGCTCTCAGGCTCTTTACCCTTCAAACCAGAGGCAGGCCGAAGGGCCTGTGCTCTGTGTTCACTGTGTCGTCCACGTGGCCATGTTCTCTCCCTCAGCGTTGGCACTCTGCAGAGCCCAGGCCTTAAGCAATCACGGTATGTGGTTGTGGAGGGCATTTCATGTTGGAAAGGTGGAGGGACGGGACAGAACACAGGTGTGGCAAGGACACAAGTACAGTACCCTTAGTGCTCTGGGTTATCCCGAATCCAGGACACGCTGCCGTGTTGCGGGAAACACAGCTGAGTCCTGCCCCGGCGTCTTTGGGGGTCACTAAACACTTAACCCCGAGAAAGATCACAGAACTGGGACTAGAGGAGGAAACGCCAGTCCTGTGGGAACAGCCAAGGCTGACAGAGGGAGAGAAGCGATTGAGATTTGTGGCCTTAAAATGTATGCTTTTAAAGAGCTTTAGTTTACTCCTCTCTTTTCAAAATGAGATGGACGTCTTAAGTTTTATGGAAAAAATGAAAATTCTTAGATTGACAACATTTTCTTTTTGTGTGTCGGCTCTTCCTTCTCCCCCAGATTCATGGGGAGAGGAGATGTCCACACGTTTGCAGCTAGGTATTTGGTAATTGAAGCAGCATGCAAATCGCTGTAGCTATTTACGAGTCGAAAGCGGTTTTTTAGAGAATATGCACTAGGCATCCTGCCTGCTGGGAAACACCCCTGCCTTAGAGTCGGACAGACTTGGGTTCAGCTCCCATCTCCCCCACAGTGTCTAGCCGTGCGACCTTGACCAGTCCTTAGTGTCTGTGAGCCTCACTCTCCCCATCTGTGAGATGGGGTGATGACCACGGGGCTTATTGTTGGCATGAAACACAGGAGCAGACACAAAGGGCTTGGTGACTACACAGTGTGCCCTCCCTTGCCCTCATCGCACAGCCCCTCAAAAACCAAAGCAGGCATTCTTTTCTGGAAAAGCAAAAGGACACAAAAGTTTACAACTGTGAAAATGACAGAAGGAGAAGTGAAGTCAGCCAGAATTTGGGGAACCAGCAGTTTATCATGAATTCCTGCAACATGGACAGGCTTGTCGCAGGGCACCTGGGTGCTGTGGCCTCAGCATTGCCTCCACATTTTCAGTCAGTTTAGTGCAGCTCATAAAGTAGAATGCACTGAGGTTCTATGCTTCCGGAACCATCTTCGTGCACACTCAGAGCCCATCCTAGCCCATCTGCCTGCCCCAGCAGAGACCCTCGGTGCAGCACAAGCCTGGCAGCCCATCCTCCGGCCCACCCCACCCTTTGGCCTCCCCTGGCTCCAGAATCGTCCCTAGTCACTAGGATGGCCTCCACTCCCTGCCCAACCCTCCTCCTTTTGGGCCCTGCAGCCTGATACATGCGAGGGAAATGAACATTTTGGTTAAACTTTTTTGTTTTAATTGACTTTTTTATGATGATAAACATAATACCTGTTTATTGTAAAAAAGTGTGGAAAATAGAGAAAGGAAAATAAAAACCGCTACCCCAGATTGCCACCATCGACCTGCTGGTACACTGCTCTCCAGGGGTGGGCTTCTCTTTTATTTCTAACTAAATGTTATATGGTGAACATTCTCCCTAGGGAAACGTTGTTTTGAAAGGTGGCAGGATATTCCACGTTGGAACAGGGCATCGTTGTGACAACTCTGACACCAAGTGTGCCTGTTTTGTTTGAAAAGTCTGTTTTAAAGTCTGTGAGAAGTGTGGCGAGCCTCTGTCTGTGCACAGTGAAGCCCAGGCCCAGATGTTGGGGTGACCAGCAGGAGGTGCCACCGCTCATCCTGCTGGTGTTACCTGGAAGGGTGCGGCCGGGGTTTGGCCTCCTCACGTGAGAACATCTCTCCCTCCCTGCCAGATCAATTTGTCAGCACCACAGGTCCTGACGCAGATTAGCTAACAGGCAAATCCGCATACATTTCACCAAACGGTTTTGACACACCCATGACGAGCATGAAATGTGATTATCCCTTTAAAGAGCTTCATCTTTGTTTTCTTGTCAGAAGAGGAGAAAAAGACATTTTCTTACACCCTGAGGAAACAGATTAGGCATTTATATGTGTATATTTCCATTAGATAAATTTTCAATTTATTCTTTCATGATCTGTCATTGTTTTCTGTGTAGGGACTAAAATATCAACACATACCTTTTATCATTTCACAAAATAAGTTTATAGTGGTTTCTAAACCAACAAATTATAAAGGTCTCGTTTCAGAACATTCAGAAGCATGGTAAATGGTTAACAGAGATATTAACATCATTTGCAATGTTTTGCCTCCTTTTAAAATATAGTTTATTTCCAGATTTTTGTAACACATTTATAAGTTATACTTCAAATCCATACTTTGAAAGACAAATTTTAAAATCATAGATAAGTAAAAATGAAATGTAAATTTAAGTCATCCATAATCCCATTATTCAAAGGTAACTAATGTTAACATTTTGATGTGTATCCTTATAAAACATTTTCTCAGTGAATATATACACCCATAAACATATACTTTTATTTATTTATTTTTTTAAAGAAGATTGGCCCTGAGCTAACATCTGTGCCCATCTTCCTCTACTTTATATGTGGAACGCCTGCCACCACATGGCTCGGTCCATGCCTGGGATCTGAACTGCAAACGCTGGGCTGCTAAAGCAGAGTATGCGAACTTAACTGCTACTCCACCAGGCCAGACCCGAACGTATACTTTTAATGTTGACATCTTGTACATTTTTTCATGTCAGAAAATGTAAATTAGATTGTCGTTTTCAATGGCTGCATAGTATTCCACTGAATGGAAACGCTGCAGTGCATTTGTCCTGTCTCTTCATAATGTGCATTTGTTACTTTTATTCATTCTTTCATTTATCTACTTTCTATTCAAAAGTTGCTGGATAAACATTCTTACACATACATTTTTAGTAAGTTTTCCAATTACATTCATAAGAAAATGTCCTAGAAGTTGTATTGCTGGGTCAGAATTTTCTGCCCTTTGGGAAGAGCCAATGTCCCTTCCCTTTTCCCAACACCGGGTGGAGCCAGCGCTGGGTAGAGCCAATTCTTTTTTGTTTTTTTTTAACTTGGAGCATTTTGAACACACGCATAGTGGGCAGGACGAACAGCACAAGGAACGCTTTAATCCTCGTCCAGCTCCAGCAGCCGTCAGCCCGTGGCCGGTCCTGCCCACCCTCCCCACTCACTCCCCCTCCCTGTGCTCTGGAAACAGCCCAGATGTAATACTAGTTCATCGATAATTATTTCAGTGTGTCCCTCCCAAAGAGGCATTTAAAAAGCACAATCACATTACGGTTATCACTCCTCAAACCCAATTTACAATAATTCCTTATATTACGAAATCTCCAGTCTTTGACCACACTTCTGCATGCTCCATCAATTTCATAAATGATTGTGTTTGCGTCGTTCTATTTTTTACCACTTGTTTGAGCTGGGAGCAGCTAAGGTCCACACAGACCTGCCTGCTTGACGTTCCTGCGTCTCTTTTGATCCAGGGCTTCCCTTCCTTCTCTTGTCCCCCTTGCAGTGGATTTTCAAGAAGCTGGTTTGCTCGTAGAGTTTGTGTTGAGATTTTGCAAATGCCGTCTCTCGTGTTACCTCCTCCTCTCACCTCTGCACTCCCTGTAAGTTGGTAATTGACCCAGACGCTTGATCAGCTTCGATTTTGATTGTTTGGCAAAAGTTCTTTTTTGATCCCTGCCAGTCAGATCTTTGCTACTGACTTGGTTGTTTTGATTTGCGTGTCCTGCGATTTGGATCACGTTTCCGACACATTTACTGTTTGTGTGCACATCTTTTGTGAACTTCCCATCTTTACCTATTTTTCTTTTGGGGCGTATGTGTCTTCATTATTTATTTTTAAGATTTGTTGTATATTAAGGCTATTAAGTCTGTTTTTCTCTCATACGTTATAAATATTTTTCCAGTTTATGATTTTTCACTTTCTTTTCAATGATGTTTATGATATCCTTCACTACACAGGAGTTTTTAACTGTCATGTCTGTTGGCCTCTTTTTTGCTGGTTTCTAGCCTTAGAATCATTCAAGAAAGACCTTCCTTCCCCAAGATTATGTACATTATATGAATTGATATGTAAATTGTGCATCTGCGTTTTTGCATGAGTCTGATTTCATTTTTAACATTTAAAACTTTGCTCTAGCTACAAAGTTTTGAGGCATAAAGGGCAATATATATAACTTTGTTTTCTCCCCAAATATTAACCAGTTATTCTCACCACATCTTTCTGCACAGATTGTAAATTCCAGCTCTACCATCTATGGGAGTGATTCGGTGCTTTCTTTTCTGTTCTTTGATTTGTCTTTCTCATCTGTTGGCTAGAACACTGTGTGTATGTGGTGTCTGTATGTGTGTGGGTTGTTTATTAAAGTGCAATGTGCAGAAATGTGAAAAAAATGTGTCCAGGCCCAGTGCACCTGCCTGTGTGGAGGGCTGCTTCTCCGTTTCCCCCGTGTATCAGAACATTCCTGACTCTTCTCACTCCTTCCTCCAGACCAACTCTAGGATCATTTTGTCAAATTCCCCAAAAATAAAAACCACATAAAATATTGATTGGATTTGTGCTGAATTTACTGATTAATTGCAGGATAATTGACAGCTTTACAGTATTGAGACTTGTCACCCAGAGAAACAGTACATTTTATATGATAAACACTTTTTATGTGTGTATCTGAGGGTTTCCTTTTTTGTGTGTGTGAGGAAGATGGGTCCTGAGCTAACGTCTGTTCCAAATCTTCCTCTATTATATGTGAGATGCTGCCACAGCATGGCTTGATGAGCCATGCTAGGTCTGCGCCCAGGATCTGAACCTGTGAACCCTGGCTGCCAAAGCAGAGCACACAAACTTA